TAACTACTGTTCAAGGCACTCACTTCTGTCAATGTCTGTCCTCCCCTCAGTTTAAAAGGATGTTGAACAGGGAGCTGTCCCATTTGTCAGAGATGAGTCGCTCAGGGAACCAAGTGTCAGAATACATCTCCACTACCTTTCTAGGTAAAGAAAACCTGCCGCCCACTTGTTGCCAACTTTTATAGCAGCTTCACCCGCAGCTGATCTCTGACTTCTGCTCGTTGCAGATAAGCAGAACGAGGTGGAGATCCCGTCCCCCACCCTAAGGGAGAGGGAGAAGCCCATGTGTCACATCAGTGGTGTGAAGAAGCTCACGCACAGCTCCAGCCTTTCCAACTCCGCCCTGCCTCGCTTCGGAGTGAAGACTGAACACGAGGATGCATTAGCCAGGGTAAACGGAAGTGAAACCTACTTTCTCAGCACATTGTATTTATTTATCTAATTCTAATACTAAATTCCTGTTTGCATTCTTGTTTGAAGAGTCTTCTGTGAGAACATGTAAAGAGAATTTCACTCCAAAACACTGACAGCAATCATCACATTATGTCTACACTGGACCGTAGTAGAGTTGTGTTAAAATAAACTTTTCTACTGTGATGAAGTATAACACCCAATGTATCATGTATCCATAAGACATGTTATATGTTTCACGAATACTGAAATCAATACTATGACTTAAAGAACTGGCAGCACTGACAGTTTGGTGACATGTGTGCTTCTCTTTGCTCTCAGGAGCTGAACGACTTGAACAAGTGGGGCCTTAATATCTTTCGTGTGGCAGAGTTCTCTAATAATCGACCCCTCAGCTGCATAATGTATGCCATCTTCCAGGTGAGAGGCCGGTCTTAATGAAATGTGCAGCAACTAATAGCATGTAGAATGACTGTGATCATGACTCCTGTGGACTGCACCTATTGCAGGAAAGAGATCTACTGAAGACCTTTCGGATCCCTGTGGATACGTTTGTCACCTATGTGATGACCCTGGAGGACCACTACCATGCCAATGTGGCCTACCATAACAGCCTCCACGCTGCTGATGTCACTCAGTCTACTCATGTACTGCTGTCCACACCAGCTTTAGATGTAAGCATCTCTATTTAACTGCCAATGACAAGAAGTCCACACAGCTTCTAAAACGAAACAATAGTTAAGAGCCAATCTGCAAACTATTTTTCAAAGTGTTCCCCTCTTTGTTTCTCTCTTACAGGCTGTATTCACTGATCTAGAGATACTAGCTGCATTATTTGCTGCCGCCATCCATGATGTGGACCATCCAGGAGTGTCAAACCAATTCCTCATAAACACCAGTGAGTCAAAATGAGATTAAACTTGTACACACATACACTACCAGTCAAAACTTTGGACACGTGACTATTTACATTGTAGATTCTCACTGAGGGAAACAAAAAAAACTCCCAACAGTGTCACCAGCAAAGCACACCTCCTCCTCAATGCTTCACGATGGGAACCATGCATGTAGAGACCATCCGTTCACCTTTTCTGCATCACACAAAGACACAACAGGTGAAACCAAAGATCTCAAATTTGGACCCATCAGACCAAAGCACAAATTTCCACTGTTCTAATGTCCATTCCTTGTGTTTCTTGGCCCAAACAAATATCTTCTGCTTGTTGCTTTTCCTTAGTAGTGGTTTCTTAGCAGCTTTTTGACCATAAAGGCCTGAATT